AAAGGAGCATTTTGATGATACTAATTGACAAGAGATTCAGGTATGAAAAGCAACACAAACACAAGCCGAGATTCAGGTACGAGAATGGGCTTTTTTTTTGCTTCCTACTTTATGTGAGAAAAACCACCGCCGGCGGCAACTAACGTGTATGAGAATGGGTTCCGACTTTGTTAATTATGTCAAGGTTTCCATGCACGTCATACGCCCAAAAGAAAAAGAAAAAGAAAAACAATTGTGAAATCACTACACTATTATAGCTTTAAAATTACTATGCCAAAAAAGGAAAAAGGGAGTTTATGCTTTTTCCTGATAAAAACAGCATCGATCGGATTCACTTCTTCTTGTTATGTGTTTTTAAAGGACAAGGACCAACCAAATAGAGGATTACTTCATATGCATATGTATTATTCAAGGTACAAGTGTGTAATAATATTAATATGCATGCTAAAGTATCATATATTTTTACTAATATATGGAACTATTCTTTTACTCTAATTTACCAACATTAGTTTCAGTAAAATTTTAATTTCTTTTTTCTTTATCTATATTAATTTGTCTTCCTTCTATTTTCTTGCAAAGCTCACAGGAGCTACAATAGTTGTAGATTTCAACACAGCTAGCTACTTTGGTACCGTCGTAGGCCACCACTTTCTGCTGGTCATAGAATTCTCTCAAATTATTCATTTGATTTTTCGCATAGATTCCTATTCCATCAATATTTTTTGGCAAAAACTATACAAAAAGTAGTCAAAATGGCCAAATACAGCTTCGGTTTTTTTTCTCTCTCTCTCAAAACATCACCAAAACTCATGGAATTTTCAGCAAAAACAACCCACATGAAACATAGAACATTAGTAAGTCCCAAAATCAGCCATATAGCCTGAAGAATGAACATAGTTACAACAAAGGTTCGAAACTTGTCGAGATTCATTTCCATGGAATTTAAAAAATAGAGAGCGAAAGAAATAGCTCTATTTACAAGACCAATAAGGTGGGAGGAAGAAAACGATGAAAGAGAGAGAGAAGAGAAGGAATGAGAAGGGGTCGGGGGTGGTGGCGGCGATGGTGGAAGTGAGAATGGCGTGGGAAAATGATAGTAAAAGAGAGAAATGGAGAGCGTGTATTTAGGTTTTTGAAATTAGGGTTTAGGTAGGCAATAATTAGGAAAATGGTAGGTTATGTGAGAAATTGGATCATCATCAAGTAGGTTGCGAAATTTGCTCTTCAAAATCGATCATGTGATGGGTTCATGACATGTTCCGGCCAAAATTTGATCGAAAAAGTGATGAAAGACTGAAAGTGAGCATTTTTATTTGTTAGAGACTACAGTTCGTCCAATTTGATTTTGAGCAACTAAAAGAAATCATTTCATTATTTCTTCCATGCGAGTGGTTTTGTTAAAAAAAAAAAATTGCAAAGAATGCAAAAGATGGTCCAAGTGAGAGACAAAAACATAAGAATGAGATCCACCACAATTATTTAGGGATAATAATTATGTACGACCGTGAAAGGTAGACACAAAGCATTCAGAAGAGCAGTACGACTGTGAGAGAGAGCAATTCAAAAGAGAAAATCTAGAACTTCGTAGTAGGCTTTGTCATCTCATCTCAAAAGGATTAAACAGCTTCAATGAGTGCCAATTTGTCTCCATCCGGTCAAAATGTGCAATGTGAGAATAATTATATTAGGGATAATTGCAGAAAGCTCCTATGAGGTTTCTGACATTTGCACTGACCTCTCCTGAGATTACTAATCCTTTGCAAATTTAGTCCAAACGATTAAAATATTATTTTTGGGAGTGAAATTAGAATTTTGTACCAGATTTGCCCTTTGTGCTACGTATCCAATGAATGACAAAGTACTATAAATCAATTAACAATTAATAAATTTTAAAGAGTATAATTTATGGACAAAAGCGTATTACTCATTTAAAGTACCAGCTCTTTACGAGTATTTTACTTTCAAATATTTAATTTATGATAAATATATCAATATTTGTAAGTAAAATTCAAAAATTGTTATAGTATTATTCTTGCAAAAAGGAAATCGATAAGTTATTTATTTAATATAAATTAAATATTTTTAAAAAAAAATAAATGGCCCATAAAGTATTAATTTTTTATGGCTTTCATCCATTACACGAGTAAAGTATTCGCTCTTTATGTGCATTTTATTCTGAATCATTTAATTTATGTTAAATACATAAATGTTTGTAATTAAAATTGAAAAAGTGTTATATTAATATTTTTACGGAAGAGAGATTGGTAGGTTTTGTATTTAACAAAAATTAAATATTTGAAAGTAAATACAAATCTGTATTTGAGCGTAAATATTTGTATTAAATTAAATATTTGAAAGTAAAATACCCTTAAAGAATCGGTATTTTAAATAGTTACCGGCTCTTTATAGGCAAACACGCATTATTCATTTAAAGTACCGGCTTTTTACGGATATTTTACTTTCAAACATTTAATTTATGATAAATATATCAATGTTTGTTAGTAAAATTCAAAAAGTGTTACAGTAATATTCTTGCAAAAAGAAAATCGGTAGGTTATTTATTTAATATAAATTAAATATTTTTTTTAAAAAAATGACTCATAAAGTATTAATTATTTATGGCTTTCATCCATTACATGAGTAAAGTATTGGCTCTTTATGGGTATTTTATTATGAATCATTTAATTTATGTTAAATACATAAATGTTTGTAACTAAAATTGAAAAAGTGTTATATTAATATTTTTATGGAAGAGAGATTGATAGTTTTTGTATTTAACAAAAATTAAATATTTGAAAGTAAATACAAATATGTATTTGAGCGTAAATATTTGTATTAAATTAAATGTTTGAAAGTAAAATACCCATAAAGAGCCGGTACTTTAAATAGGTAATGCATATTTGCCTATAAACTATACTCCTTAAAATTTATTAATTGTTAATTGATTTGTAGTATTTTGTCATTCATTGAACATGTAATACAAAGGACAAATTTGATAAAAAAATTCTAATTTCACTCCCTAAAACAATATTTTAATCGTTTGGACTGAATTTGCAAAGGATTAGTAACCTCAGGGGAGGTCAGTGTAATTTTTCAAACCACAGGGGAGGTCAATGCAAATGTCAGAAACCTCAGGGGAGGTTTCTGCAATTATCCCATTATATTATACATGGGTTGTCATAAATTATCAAGAATCGAAATATGAGAGACTGACTTAAAACAAATTGAAAAAATATACTATATTCTAAAGCAAACAAACAATAGTTGCAAAAAAAAAAAGGGAAGGAAGTAACGTTGATGTTCCCTTCTGGTTAGTTTATGTCTTACAAAAATTTGGTATAATTTCAATGAATTTGTGGAGACAAACGAACTTCTTGATCACATGAAAATTGGACGAGTTTATGTCAAATTTTACAAGAATTATTCATTTGTACAAAATACAAATGGACCACCCAAACTCACAGCTTCCCTATTTCCAGAGTTTAAAAAAACAAAAAGCCACGTCCCGTATGTATGGTTGATACTTGATATCAGTGCAGTTAGGCCTGTCAATTGGGCCTAATGAGCCGGGGTTTGATGAGCTTAAACTCAGCTCATTTAATTTGAATCGTTTTCGGGTTTCGGGTTATGAGTTTCGGATTCGTAAATGTGAAACTCATACTCAACTAACATAATATTCGGGTTGTGAGCCTTAATCGGGCTTAGCCCAAGCTCACTTATTACTCCTTAATTTTCTTAATATAATTACTATAACTATTAAGTTGTAAAACTAATTTAACATTTACAAGACTATAATATTAAAACTAAACATGAACAAATAATAATTCTTAAAACGTATATAAACCAAAAAATTTTCAATAATATTTATATTTAATCCATTCAAAATGCATGAAAAATAGTAATAAAACATGCGATCATAAGTCAATACATCTTTAAAAGTTGAAACTTTTTTTATAATCTTGTGATTTAAATCCAAATATGCTTGATGATTTTTGTGTTTGTAGACTAAAAAAAAATCAACCAATATTATGCCAATACAAAAATTTACTCAACCAATAAGAAAAATTAGAAATTTAGTTATGCATTACCAATATTGGCTCTCAAGAAAGCTCATGAAAGAGTTTTGAGATGTATTTTTGTGTTTTGTAATTTATGTAGATATTTAGTATTTAATAATAATATATTTGGATATATAATTATACATAATATCAAACTATAAATATTATATATATATATAATTAAAGGACCAGGCCTAAATCGGGTTTGATCCTAATAAGGCTCAAGCTCGGCTCACATTTAATTCGGACCTAATTTTTAGGCTCAAACTCAGATCGGCTCACTAAATGATCTGGCTTATCGGGCTTTTTATCGGGCCGAGCGAGCCGAGCTCGGGCTGACCCAGCCCCATTGACAGTCCTATTGATACTTGATATCAGTGCAGTGGAGTTTTTTTCTTTAATTTAATTAGTAAACAAATGTGCGAATATTGCGCGACCTGTGGGTGGCTATCACCATCCGTGCTGACTGAGAGTGTGGAGCACGTCGGCCGGTGCCGGTGGCGAGGGTAATCTTTCTTTTAGTACCAGTGTTCAATTTGATACTCTTTCTTTCTTTCTTTCTTTCTTTCTTAGGCTGGCAAATGAGAAAAATTTGCTGATCATGGCTTTGTGGGTCTAGATTGCGTGCCTGGTATCGGAATCAGATGCATAGCTATCTATACGGAACACGGGATACTACTACTAGTGAAATATCGGAATCAGATGCATAGCTGTCTTGTTTAATTGTTTCCCTTGATTCTTGACCAAGTCCGTTCATCTTAATCACCGATTAATTGTCTGTCCAAGAAACAGATAAAAAGCATTTGAATTGATGATGGTGGATTTTGATTATCAGGCTTCAACTTAGACTACTGCAGCAGCAGCAGCAGATAGCTAGCTAGCTGTAAACAAAGTATTAACTTACCTTTTTCTTTTAATGATTGCTATCTCATTTGTTCCTGTTCTGAGTCTTCTGACTTTTTAACACTTCATTGCAGCTCAGGAACTTCCGGTGGAAAGCGGAAAGCGATTCCGACAACAGCTGAAGAGCCAAGGCGCAGGGCATTCTACGCCAGTCTCACTGCTACTATACTAAACAAGTGATCAAATTTAAAATTCTTTTCTTCAAGTTTACTGCTCACAAATGAATTTTTCTTTTCTAAGTTACCTGCAATTATTATAGGAGTGACTACTTGTTAAAGGTTTCTGCATTCCACGTACGAATTAGGTATCTCCACAACTAATGCAGCTTCTAGTTGTTAGGGATTTTGCCAAATCCCTACTCTTAACAAAATCAAGGTCTGAAGTTCGATATACTGCTAGTTGAAAATATATTTTGTTGATTTCACTGGAGTTCCCGAACACAAGTAATTCTAAGATAAAGGAGAGTTGTCCAATTTGAACCATGAACTCTCTCATGCCATTACCCTTGAGGTCTTATATAGATGGTTTACAGTATTAGATAAGTAGGTTTCAGTTGGTCATTGAGCAACTAGACCCATTTAATTAGTTATCTTGTTGGCAAGTTTTAATTGGTCATTGAGGCTTGAGCAACTTAGGGTTCTCCTGTAAGTTGCTCAATGACTACCATAAAACTTCTATTGAAAATTAAAAATCCTTGTGTCTTAAAATTAGGCCTAGTTGTGTAAACAAGTACTTGTATCTCGATCCCACAAAATTCAAATTGTGATATTGTCTTGGCTGTATTTGATGTTTCCATTCAGGCACATTGAATTCTGGAATCAAGGTAAACAGATGAACTTTCGATTCATCATGCCAGAAATGACTACCTTGGGTGGATTGGTGGTAACTAATGCTGTATCAAGCAACTTCAGGAGGAGCAGAATTCAAAACCGTTCTAATTGCTGGAATAATGACACTAGCCCAGATCAGGTGATATTATGTGAAGATATCAAACAGAGCATGTACTGCCAATTACTTTGTGGTCTTGTGCAGCGTGATGCCGTAGTGAGAATCGGAACAACTTATGCATCCGGATTTCTTCGCGTCATCAAATTCTTGGAGGAGCATTGGCAAGAACTCTGTTCCAACATAAAAACAGGAAATATCAGTGATTGGGTCATTGATCCTGGATGCCAGAAGGCTGTATCTTTGATTTTGAGCCAACAGATGCCCGACTTAGCTGATTCAATTGAAATTGAATGTAGATCAGGATCATGGAGAGGAATAGTCAAGAGGCTTTGGCCTCGAACCAAGTGCATTGAGGTCGTCAGTACAGGGACTATGACCCAATATATCCCAAACCTTGAGTTCTACTGTGGTGGGGTACCTTTAGTTTCAATGTACTATGCGGCTTCCGAGGGGTTTTTTGGTCTCAACTTGAAGCCATTGAGCGACCCTTATAATGTGTCTTACACTCTTGTACCATGGATGGCCTACTACGAGTTTTTGCGACTAGGTCATAAGCAGAGTGCTACACAAGATCACAGCCAAGATAATGATACTAATTGCATGAGTACGCTGGGTGAACTCGTCGATCTTGTCAATGTGCAAATTGGTCAGCAGTATGAACTAGTAGTAACTACCTTTACAGGTTGGCTCTCTTTACTCTTCAACTTTGCTTGCATTGTCCTTCTTCAATTTAGTATATGCCTCGTTGATGTCCACAATCAAATGATTGAGTTAAAAGTTACATACAAACACTAGCTATATGAATTAATGGTAACTTTTCTTGTTTCCAGTATTCTAAACTTCTTTAATGCCTCGTTGCCCAAAATAAAAAATAAAAAACCCTCAAGTCTAAATTTTTAGCATTGCCTCCTTGCTGTACGCTACAGGGCTTTACAGATATAGAGTTGGAGATGTTCTCATGGTAACTGATTTCCGTAACAACACCCCTCAATTCAAAGTTGTGCAACGGCGTAATGTGGTTTTGAGCATAGACTCGGATAAAACAACCGAAGAAGGCCTCTTGAAAGCGGTTTCAAAAGCCATGCAAATCCTTGAACCACTTGGCTACCTTCTCACAGACTACAGCAGCTATGCAGACATGTCCTGTTTTCCAGGGCACTATGTACTCTTCTGGGAGCTTCAAATGAGAGAAAATGCGGGAACAGCTGCAGTGCTTGAGAGGGTTCAAATGGAAGGATGCTGCAATGCGGTGGAAGAATCATTAGATGGGATGTACAAGACACTGCGGAGGCGAAGCAATGTAATCGATCCGTTGGAAATTAGAGTTGTGAAACGAGGAACGTTTGACGGGCTCATGGACTTGTTTCTTTCTGAGGGTGCATCTTTGAATCAATACAAGACGCCTAAGCGCATTAAATCTGAGAAGGGCATCCAATTCTTGAACTCAATGGTGGTGGAAACATTTTTCAGCCGAGTGTTGCCTGCCTTTCCTCCGACGGGATGAATGAATGAATGAAAGTTTAGCATCAAACCGTCTCGAAATCTTTGTGCAGGAAACTGTCTTGAAAAGACAGAGCCTTAATTTCAGTTAATCAAATCCGGAACATGCAATGCAAATGCATATAAATCAATTACTATCAATTAATACACATAATCCATCACTTCAATATATGCAAACTTAATACTTTAAAACATTGGGTTTAGCTTATTGGTTTAGAGCTAATTTACACGGTAATGAGTTGTAAAACATTAGTGGATCCCTTTCCTCTTGCCTTATTTATCAATAATAACACGTCATCACTGCATTTAATTACTTTCTATATCTATATCATTATTGCCAAATACTACCATTTATCAAACTCAAAAGAGCTTTTATTCTGAGTGTAATTTGCCGATCCATTTGACCACTTAAGAGCATAGAAAAAGTCAACAAGGACAAAAAAACCTTAAAAGAGAAAAAAAAAATACAAATCAAAACTACATCAAGTAGTCGAGAAAGAACATCATCATTTCAAATAACCAAACGAAAGATAGTACTGGATCCATTAATTGAAGGTAAATCACACTTTTTATTTCATTGGTTACAACTTTGCATAAAAACAAATAGAATATCCTGCATTAAGCCATGAGAATTACCATGCAGATTCTCAAGCTTTTTAAATTAATTGAAGGTGACGCATCGATCAAGGATTTGCGTGCCACACTAAAAATTTGTACGTCTTTGAAATTAAGAAGTACAAATATTTAATGCAAAATCAATTCTCATTATTCAAGAATTTAATAGTACTAATCAAATATGACCCCGTCAAGAGCCAATGCTCTCAGAGAAGGGATGACGAACGATGATGGCCGTGCTGCTTTGCATGATGAAGCAGTGCTCTGCGGGAAGGATGACGATGGTTCATCAATCTTGGGTGAGCCTCCTGGCCGTGGCCGTGGCCGTGGGCGTCATCAGCTCCGGCGACCAAATGGGACAGAGCACTCATGGCATGGGCTTGTCTGGACATGATTGCGGTGGTTGAAGGATTCCGGCCTAACACAACAGCGTATCCGTCGTCGTACGAATCCATTCCTTGGGCCATGAGCTGCCATATTAAGCTTCCGCTCATGGTTCCTCCGCTCCTTGCATAGCCGTATGTTATTCTGTACACGTTGCTCATGTAATCGTCTCTCGCTCTCAAGCTGTAGCCTGGATCTCTGCTGGACTTGCCAAATTCCGCGATGACTAGCGGCTTTTTCAGTATGGTCCTCGAGTCTTCCCAATGGCTTGACATCCACCTCTGCATAAATACCAACTGTGCTTTATCATCTTTTCCAGATAACCTGCCACCCAATGTATTAATATGTGAGATCATGATGTGAAGAAGGAATTAATTATATCATGCTTGCTTTCACGTTTTGATTGCTAAAACCATGGGATTATTGGTTGATATAACTTTTTTTTTCTTCTTTTTTTTTTTTTTAATTTACCATTGATCTGGATATGCATGGATGGTGGCGAAATCAACGTCCCTGAGGAGATTGCTGCTTATGAAATCTGTTCCAACTTGGTAACCAGGATTAAATTGTTTCTTTTCGGGCTTTGTGTCCCCATAAAATCCTTCCATGCCAATCTCCAGCAAGTGCTTCCGGTCCAATGACTTCACGAAACTTGCCATCTCTCGAGTCCATTCCTATGATCAACAACATTTCAACTCATTCATTCATTCATTTCAGCACAATGTGTTAAAAAAAACTCTAACCAATATACATATTTCAAATGAAATGGTCGTGCCCGAAAAATGCACTAAAAAACTTGAGGGATACTAAAACGCAGCGGCAACGAGTCCTCACATTGACTGTCCTTCCGGAGTAATCAGCTTGGCAGCGGGGCTCGTTCATGAGTTCCCATGCCATGATTGTGGGATCATCCCTGTACGAAATTCTTGTAATGGTGTTGAACCTTGTCACCACTCTCTGCAAACGCGAACCATATGTACATTTCCCAAAAAAAAAAAAAAGCATTATTCGTCCAGATTAAAGAAAATAAATCTGGAAGACGTACATGGAAACATAATTACCGACTCTTAATTGCAGCTTTCTCTTAGTCTTACCCTGATGTGATCTTTGTAGTAGCCTATGATGGTGGGATTCGTGTAGAAATCATCGTCACCGTTGACGTGTGCTCCTGCATTTCGAGCCCACTGAGCATACTGCCTTCTACCCCCAAAGTCATTGTAATTGTTCACAAAACTCAATATCAAACGAATTCCATGCTTCTTTGCCTCAGAAATCGCAAAATCCAGCGCCTGTATAGTGGTATACCACGTACACCAGCATTGTAATTAAGCTAGCTAGTTGCAATACAAAAATAGAAGTGCTTGAAAAAAATAATTAGAATGAACCTGAAAAACACGTTCATCATAAATTCCAGGTGATATTTGAAGTGCACGGTCGCCTCCATCGCCGAAAGCCCAGGTTCTGCATACCGAGAGACCGGCAGCGGAGGCATCTCTCAACACTTCAGACACTTTATGCCTCTCGCTAGGGTCAGCGGCTACGTGCATCAGCCAATAGGAATTGAATCCATTGAAGAGAAATGGTGAGCCATTCAGAACAAAACGAGCACCCTGAGTCCTAACAAATCCTGCACCATTTCTTGCAACCGTACTACCGCTAGCTTCACAAGCAAGAACTAGTAACAGTAGTGCTACTAGTGCAACAGCTAGTCCAAAAAGATGGCTTATTCTTCTACTACAACTTGCCATTGATTGATGCACACAATAGAATGATGTGTGTTGCTATAATGCTGGAGGCTGTTAACTTGAGTGGTTGATGATGGACGAGGGGGATATGATGAATTGTGGGAGAGGGGCGGTATTTATAAGGTGCTGATGATAAGAAGAGTTGCTAAAAATAGAAAACCTAGCGGCGGAAGTTAAGTAGGTTTTCCGGTGACGGTGGTTTGCTAAATTGATTTAATTATGGAGATTCTTTCGATGATGCATCATGCATGCAGGGGTGGGGTATCACTATCACGTAAAGTGGGGTGAGAAGAAAGAGTATGAGAATAGAGACCGAGAGAGAGTTGATTGGTCGAAAGCCGAACGTCTGTCGAAGAATTCATGGGATTGAGGTTTTGCGAAAGGTTGACGAGGGAAAAAAACAAAAACAAAGAAAGGCCGGAGGGGCTGCTAAATATAGCTGATGTGCTTATCCCATGTGGTTGGTTTAATTTGATCCTTGAATTATGGATGGTATTCTTAAAATTCATATTGCTACGGCAAGAGTTGTTACCCTACCGAATTTTTAACGAATACTGCCATACATACAAATTAAAGAGATCGATCATACTCATTAATGATGAAGAAGAGCGCATAGCTCTTGCCACCAAAAAATGGGGAAAAAAGAAACAAGAAAAGGTGGCACATAGATTTGAAGTTGATCATCATGATATATGTGGATGAACGTCCTTGACCATCTTTGCTTCAGGGAGTGACCATCTGATTCTGATCTTAGATGGGGAATTCAAGAAACTCGTCTTTCTTTTTTGCTATATCTGTTCTAGTTTGTTTTGTGCACGCATTGTACTTGTAGCTGCAGGTTGATCATGTGGGAAAATCTGAATAACTTCCCGCTTTAGGTTGATCACGTACCCATCTCATGTAGTTTGAGTTTGAGGGCAACATCACAGATTAATTTAACCATTGCACTCCTGGCAAAAGACTAATAATTACTTATCCTTTTACATGAGTTGCTGATTCCAGAGAAACTTTTACGTGCTAGCTTCTCCTCCTTTTTAGGATACCTACCGATTAGATGTTTATTGATGGAGGGAAGACCAAAGATAAAATCAGCGATATTCATGAGAGTAGCAGATAGCGCTACTAGATTTCTTTATTATTTTGCTGTGGCTAGCAAATAGCAATAATTAATGGGACCATGCAAGAAGAACTTGTATCCACATTTGCATTTGGCGGCAGCGCTGACAGTCCATATATAGCCATCCTCTCTTCGTTGCCGTCAAGGCAATGTAATACTTTTACTAAAATTAATGCAGATAGACATGGAGGTAAGTCTACTAGCGCAGAATGCCAAGGAGAAATTGACTGGTACAAGAAACAGAACTCGAGACCGGTATTGGGAAAAGAATGTAAAGTTAAATAACCTGTTAAAAAGAGAAAACCCGGGCCGGTTGTATGGCGCCGGCGACGGCAAGTATAATGAAATTAGGGACCCATGCGCATCATATCATTGTATACTGTAAGTCTGTTACAACTTGAGTTGGTCCGTGTTACTCTTTCTCTCTCTCTCTCTGTGGACTGGTCAGAGGGTGCTGTCATCTGCTTCTTCTTCCAAATTCCACGGCTCTTCGATCTAGGGCTGCAAATGAAATCGAGATTTCGAACTCAATTCGAGCTCGATCAATATCAAGTTCGAACTAATTAAATTGAATTTGAATTCAAAAATACTAAATTAATTAGTTCGTGAATCAACTCGTACTCGATTATATATATATTTTTATTTTAATAGTAAAATTATATATATTTTTATTATTTTATTATTTATTTAAAAAATTATTATTTTATTTATTTTTTTAAAAATAAAAATAATTTTTTAAAATTTTTTTAACCTCGAGCTCGAGCTTTGATATTTTGAACTCATTGAATTCGAACTCGAGTTCAAATTTCGTAAAATTATGCTAAAATTCGACTCGATTAGATCAAAACTCGACTTGTTTGCACTTCTACTTCAATCTTCACCAACAAAAACTTCAATTGAAAATCAGAAGTATATCATCGTTCAAACTTCAAAGTACAATTGCAATCTGTACTGGTATAATTACATTTAGGATTCTCATAGGAGATAGATGTATCATTTGATAGAAGCATCGTGTTTTTTTTCCCCTTTTCTTTTTATGGGTTAGAAAAGGATCAACATCCATATAAAAAGTTGAAAAGGAACTCTTTTAAGTAAGACTGTCATTATTGGCCAACCGAGGCTCAAATCACAATTATAGACAAGGTGATATATATTCTTTTTTGTGCTATATTGTACTATAAATCTATTTATCCTTCTGTTGGTGTTATTACTCTCGTAGTATAAAACTCTCATTGAAAGTCTATCATTCTTTTACACAATCACCACCATTTAATTAAACATGTCAAATCATCAGTTGGTTGGTTCTATTAGCATCTTCTGTGTGTGCATAT